AAAAGCAAAGTTAGACACGGCATTCATGGAAAACAGGATTAGTTTAATATTTAAATTAGGATTTACTACTTCAATTTTTATTAATTAGTATTTAGCATGCACTGTTTATTAGTAGTTTATTACTATAATTTTTTTATATATATATATAACTTTAAATATTAGTATTACCTGATGATGTTTAACCGTGTATAAAGAAATGTTAAATAAATAAATAAAGTATTTATATCGCCGATTCATAGTCTTCCTAATTTCTGAATTCATCCAAGGAAGGGATCTATCTCTGATCCTCACAATTCTTTTCTTAATGTGGTTGTCAAGAATGCTCTTGAACATAGATTCCCATATAAATACACTATCATCAATGTCTTCAAGAGCACCAATAATGTGCCATGGGGCTCTCGCCATATCAGCTTTAAGCTCATTTAAGTCTAAGGATTTATAATCTTTAACAAAGGCAATTTTCGGTTTTGGTTTGCTTTTTGTGAGAGCAAAAACTCCGTATATTGTAAATAATTAGTTTTAAATTAATCACACTATTCATAGCATATCGTTCAATTTATATTACTCATATGGTTTGTTAGGCGCATTTGATCATATTCACATGTTAATTTGCGCCTTAGAAATATTAAATATTATTATTAGTATACAAGATGATGGTCAGAAATACCAAGATCTATAGAGCCAGACTTGAGACAGTTTAAATTAGGGCTAGTGATGACAAGATCCAGTAATGTGGTGCTGTTCTTAGTAATTCTTGTGGGGGATTTGATAACATTCAGGTAGCCAAATATGTTTAGAATCCTTTGAGGTTTGGTTCCACATAAGGATAAATCTTGATCTTGATTAGGGGCAGGAAGTAGATTAGAATTTACATCACCAATCAGCACAACATTCTTTCTTTTGACCCAGATCTTGTTTAACAGACCCTGTAAGGAACTGAAAAATGCCATATCTTTAGGTGGACGATAAAGACATCCAATTAGGGCTGACTGAGAGCGCATGGTGACATTAATCCAAACTGCTTCCAAATCTTTAATATCCCATTTTAAGTCCTGATGGACAGTTAAGCTTTCTTGATAGTAAATTAAAACTCCACCTCCCTTACAGCTAGATCTATCCTTCCTGACAAAGTCAAAACCAGGTAGTCTTAGTAGATTGTCAGGGGTAGATGCAGTCAGATGAGTCTCTGTAATACCCAGAATATGCCATTTCACTTCATTTAAAAGGACATGGACTTCATTTAGCTTGTTGATAATACCGTTTACATTGATGTGCCCTACCTTCAGATCTTTATTGCCAAGGGAGTCTTTTAACGATTTGTAAATATCAGTAAGGTCGACAGCAGCTTCTTGTTCGACTGAAGAGGGCGTGGTATCCAACTCCGGATGACCATCTTCATCCGACAAAATTGATACTTCAGCGAAAGGTGATACGGATAAAAGACATGTCGGACAGATCTAGTTGAACTGATCCCTTTGCTGATAATATTTGCTTTTTGCCCTTTGCTCACTAATGCATTTTCATTCGAAAACGCATTAGTGAGGTCGGAATCTTAGAAACAATTCACCACAGTGATTTGGCTATCCCCGGGTCTTGGGTATCCCTGTATTCAAATCCCTAATGATATGGGTATACCAAGCAGGGTTAGTCTGTTCCCCGCGTGAAATTTTTTTATCGTGATCTCGACGAATTCAATACAAAATAGAGGACCTGTGAATAGACTACAGAAGGGATGTCCATATATATCGCTAACAGCATATAATACAGCAGTCTGGGGTAAGTGACTCGGCTGTTTACAAATTAATCAAAGATCATTTCTCTTTTTAGCGGAGCTTCAGGCCGCCAAGCGAAGCCCCATACACATATAGGAAAGAAAACGAAACCATAAGTAGATTTTCTCGTGGTTGTCATGGCTGGCGGTATTCCTCGTGAGCACGTATACCCAGAGACGACGACGACGACGACGACGACGACGGTGAAGTCGCGCAAGATGGCGGCCATACACCAGCTAATAGGTTGACAGAGACATGCAGCCTTGGTTTATAGCGTCCTTCTTTGATGTTGGAAATCCCTGTTACTGGTCCTGTTACGGTCAATTGACACAAGTCAAAACAAGGTATCCGCTGATCTGTACACGTCACCATATTGCGGGCTCAAGTTTAGAGCGCATCGAGTTCACGTGTTCTTTGAAGTTGACCGCTGACCAAGTGCTGGTTTTTCGTGGGATCGTGGGCTCATGTCAGGTTAACTTGCTGTAATCAGGACCGGGTTGTTCGGAAGCTGGTTGAGGTTGGAAGTGCCAAAAAGCCTGATGAAAAAGAAGTAAAGAGGACGAGCAAACTTTGGCAGAATAAAATTCAGCTCATCGCTGTTCGCAAGCAAAATGTCAGTTAGTACAAACCAGTTTCAATTAACGAATTAAATTGTTCTTGTTTGACATATAATAAACATCTTATTAACCGAGCTTAGTCGGTCTGTATACACCTCGGTAGTGTGTACAGACCTCACTGCGTTCGGTCAGTACTCACGACCTCGGTCAAGATTCTCCCATACAGATATAGACCTCCTGCTCGGTTAATAAATAAACAATAACCATTTGGCGCGAAAATATACTCGGATATTTGTCCGCGAACATTATCTGTTCCTCAAAGCTCACAGTTTCCCTCGAGCGTAGTCAATAAACGTATCAATGAAAGAGGGAGAGAGTGACAGTTTTGCTTGCGCACGCCGACCTGTACGGCAAACAGTTTTTCTACTGTACAAAAAACCGTATAATATCGCTGTATATTTGTACTGTTATTTGGACGGTATTCACTGCTGTTGGATAATAAGAGCTCATCGTAGGTGCGCGCGGATCCCAAGACTTACGGTCTCCTTCCCCGATTATGGCTCCTGATGATTATTGCGATGTCGTGGTTTTCGTAAAGTTCCGTTTTCAAAATGCTTTCCGTCCACACGCAAAGTCGGCGTTTTCAAATTCATCCGGTTTGAAGAGCGTTTTCTTAAAGCTCCGTTTTCGTGACGGATTAGTGTGGACGGTAGGCCTAACCGTAGAAAGAAAGCTGCGTTTTCAGTTTTCTCCGGCGTAGTGTGGAAGGACCCTGAGAATGCGCTTTATTGACCAGCTTTATTAATTAAATCCTAAACCTCGTATAATGCATTTCTAGCTTTCTGATTGGTTCACTAAATCTTGCTTACCAGACATCATACCTGTGTTTGACCGTACCTATGTGGAAAATGCCAGCCGCAAGTGTCGCTTAGTTTAAGGTAGCTTACGACAGTTTTTCCGAACGCGGTTTCAAATCGACACAGGGCTTTTGTACATTATGCTTTTGGTTCCCCACTAAAATGCT